TGTCCCACCCTCCCCCCACTGCTGCAGGTTGGCAAAGTCGATGGAGGAGGCGGCGGAAATGCTGGCCACGTTCACCACCCGCTCCCGCACCGCGCCCAGCAGGCAGGCGGTCAGCAAAAAGGGCGCCGCCACATTGACCGCATACGTCATCTCAAGGCCGTCCTGCCGGAATTAAAACAACAACAAGAACACTTGTGTGCACGGCGTGGTTGCGGGCAGGGAGGGCGCGCGATGCAGGGCAGGGCAGGGCAGGGCAGCACGGCTGCTGGCGGTGCAACACGCAGCGGCGGAGGCCCAAGCAGCGCAGCGTTCCCGTGCCTTGGATTTTTTCAGCTGCGTCTCGTAGACGCCTGCGTTGTTGATGAGGACGTGGAGGGAGGGGTGGTCGCGCTGCACGCGGTCGGCCAGCCGGCGCACACCCACCAGCGAGGCCAAGTCTTCTGTGAAGCCTTGGGCAGAGCCGCCGCTGCCAGCGCCCGCCTGCTGCACCGCCTGCACCGCCTGCTGCACGCGCCCCTCGCTCCTGCAGGCCAGAACGGCAGGAGAGGATGCACGGGGGGCGGCGCGGCATGGGCATCAAGGCGGGCGCGGGCGCTGTGTGGCGGTGCAAGGCTGTCGGCAGCGCATGTCTTGCCTCCAGCACCTGCCGTGCACCAGGACCGTGGCACCCTGGCTGGCCAGCCGCTGCGCGGTGTGCAGGCCGATGCCGTCTGTGGATCCTGCGCAACAGGAGGCAGGGAGGGGGCGGGGTGAGGGCCCAGGGACGCCACGCTGGGCCATTCCTGCGGCTCGGCGGCGCAGCCAGCAGGCGACCGCTGGCTGGGCATTCACTGCTTCCACCAGGCTTCAAGGCATCACATACAGGCGCGCACCTGTGACCAGGAACACCTTGTTGAGAAGTGGAGCGGCCGCCATGTTGCGGCAGTTTGCTTGCTGCTGGCGCCGCCGCTCGTTTGTCGCCCGGTGCGCCGCCGCACCCAGGTGCGTCCACAAGCTCGCTAGCTATGCCTACAGCTCCTATTATATTCTCGCTCCGTGCAAGCAGATCAGGGGCGAGAATTGAGTTGTGCGAGTGTGGGGCGGCAGGGGACACGGCGGCGTCTGCTCCTCCACAAGATGAATTGCAATCTTTGAAGACGTTGATGGTTCAGAACGATCAGCGCTGCAAAACCAGCCTGCTCACCCTGGCAGCGGTAGCCGCCCGCGTCCCGTCGCCACGCGGGCGCGCACCAGTGCTGCAGCGGCTTTACAAAGAGCAACTGAACAAACAGCAATTGAACTTATTAAGCGCAGTGTCTAAAAGGTTAAAAGATGCACAGGGAAAGATGGGCAGAAAAGAGAGGGGTCAAAAGGGAAATGCTCTGACGTAGAACATGGAAGAGTGTACGGTGCTCGAGGTAAATGGAGATGTACGGAGAGAGATATGGCAAGAGAGACGGTGGAATGAGCTGGTAAGGTGGTGCCCTGGATGGGAATGCAAAATGTGATTGAGATATGAGAAAAAAATGACGCAGGCAGAAGCCTGGTCGAATTGAAGAAGGGGTGCGCACATCAAAGCTGGCTGGGGTGGGCCGAGGATCAGTCAGTCCATTGGATAAAAAACAGTAAGAAACACGCATGCATTCGTGCTCACGCCAGTTCGCATGTTGACAAGCACGGGCAGGCCTGTGCCTCCATGCAAGCAGCTCGCACGGGGTCGGCCTGGGGCAGCATCACTGGGCTCATCATTGCTGTCGGCTCTCAGCCGCCAGCAGGGCGGCCAGCTCCTGGAGCGAAGGGGTGGCCTGCTGGGACACGGGCCAGGGCGGCGGCTGCAGCGCCAGCTGCTGCGGCGGCGTGGCCGGGTTGGCCGGGCGGCCGGCCGCAGCCAGCAGCGCGGCCGACAGCTGCTGCAGCGCCGAAGGCAACGCCAGCGGCGCCGGGCTGCCCCAAGCACCCAGCAGGCGGCCAGCGCCGTCGCCGGGCTGCATGAAGGCAGCAGGTGGCATGTGCTGCGCAGCGGGCGCCTGCTGTGAGGAGGGCGGCGGGCCCAAGGCCAGAGCGCCGCCCAGCCGAGCGAAGAGCTCCTGCAGGGCGGCGCCGCTCGTCGCCTGCTGCTGCTCCTGGCGCGGCCCGGGGCCTGGCAGCTGCGGCTGCTGCTGGGAGGGCTGTTGCTGCTGCTGTGGCGGCGGCGGGCTGGGCTGGGCCTGGGCCGCCTGCTGCTGCTGCTGCGGCGGCTGGCTGCCCTGCTGCTGCATGCCCGCGGCAAAGGCCTTCATCAGGTCCTCAGCCGTGAATGAGCTGCCAGGCTGCGACTGCTGGGGGTGCGGGGCAGCGGTGGAACGCCCGCGCGAGGCCCCCGCCGCCTCCTGCCCCGCCTGCTGCCAGCCGAGGGGGGCGCTCTGGGTGGCAGCGGCCGCCGTGGTGGCGGCCGAGTGCGTGCCAGCCGGCGCGGGCACCACCTGCGCCAGCTGCGCCTGCACCAGCTGCAGCTGGCGGGAGAGGTGGGAGATCTGCGCCGCGAGCTCTGGGTAGACGGAGGCGAGGGCCTGCGCCTCTGGGTGGCCCCGCACCGCGGGCGGCGGCGCCCACACAGTCTGATCAGACTCTCCCGACAGCATCACCCGCCGAGCCATCTGCTCCAGCAGGGCCGAGGCAGGCGGCTTGGGCGCCAGTCCCGAGCTGGCGGCGGCGACGGCGGTGGCCGCGGTGCGGGCCGACGGCGTGCCACCGGGCAGCGGCTGGGGCCAGGTGGCGGCCTTGGGCGCGCCGCCCGCCGCCGCCTGCTGCATCAGCAGGTGAGCCAGGAAAGGGTTGGCGGCGGCCTGAGGCTGCGGCCGGGAGGGCCGGGCCGCCGCCAGCTGGCCCTGCTGCACGGCCGGCGGCGCACTGGCGGCTGGCGCGGCGGCGGCCAGCGAGCCGGGCCGCATTCCGTCCCGCGGGGCGGCCGCCACCTGCAGCGGCAGCGGCACAGGTGGGCGTGTCGAGCCCGCCTCTCAGCACTCGCATGCAAGCACCTCCCATGCACTAGGCCTTGCCGGTCCTCCCCAAGGAAGGAGTGGCCAGGTGGGGCATGACGCCACGCGGCACCTCCCACGCACAGGCCCACATCCGCAGGCTCGCCGCGCGGCACAGCGCAGCACAGGAAGGAGCGCACACGCCGAAGCAGGCGCAGGGAAGGGTGCCCCCGGCAGCAGCGGCGGCGGCCGGACGCCCAAGCGGGGCGCCACAGTGCGCGGCGACTCACGATAAGGCGGGACCCCGTGGTCACCTCCCGCGGCCTGCCGCTGGACAGGTGCAGCCCAGGGGCGGGCTCGGTGTGCGCGCGGCCCGCTGCCTGGTGCGGCGAGGGCCCCTGCCCAGGCACCCGCTGGTAGCGCGGCGCCGCCGCCTGCCCCTGCCCGTCCTCTGGCTCGGACTTGACGCCGCCGGGCGCTGCCGCCGCCGCCGGGGGCGCCGCGCCACGCAGCAGGCCGGCCAGGTCGCGCTTGTGGCCTGCGGGCGGGCGGGGCGGACAGCGTGCACAGCGTGGCACGAGTTCCTTGAGCGGGGCTGCTGCTTGCCGTGATGAGGACTGCGGCTAGCCATTGCCCAGGCTCAGAACCACGTCCCGTAACATCACACTGGCGCCAGCTTCAGTTGGGTGGGACCACAGCGTGGCAGCAGGCGCAGCACACTCGCTGTCCCGGCCACAGCAGGGCCCACCTGCCAGCCGCTGCTGCTGGTCGGAGGGCGCCCCGCCGTCCAGCCCGCCGCCCGCGGCAGCCATGGCGGCGGCAAACGCGGAGGCTGCCGCCGCTCCGCCGCCCGGCGGCGGCGGCGCCGCCGCCGGCGTGGGCCGCAGCAGCATGCCGCCGCCGGGCACCAGCAGCGGCGGCGGCGCCGAGGGCGCGGGCATGGGCGGCGGCGGGGCCTGCCAGGCCACGCCCAGGCTGGCCGTCAGCGTGGCCATGTCGACCTGCGGCCGCTGCTGGTCGTCGCCGCCTGCCGGGTGCGGGTCCCGCTTCGCAGGCCGGCCCTTCTTGAGGTCAGAGTTGAGGGCAAAGACCTTGCGCCGACGGCTGTTGTGCTGCTGCAGCCGCGCGCGGCAGTTCCTGCGCGCGACAAGAACGGAACACCGGCTCGCGCCTTGGGCGGCGGCACGGGCACACACACACACACACACACACACACACACATGTGCTCTCTCTCTCTCTCTCTTTCTCTCTCTCCCTCGCTCCCCCTCTCTCTGGCCCACCTCTTGTCTCCGTCAAACTCGCGGAGCAGATGGAAGCGGCCGCACTGCTGGCAGAAGCGCTGCACCACGCCGTCCACCACCATGGCCGGCGACTGCAGGTGCGGCTTGCACACGCGGTAGCGCTGGCTGCACGGGGGACACGCCACAGGGGGCGGTCGGGCACAGAGTGTGTGTGTGTCTGTGTGTGTGTGCGTGTGTGTGTGTTGCAATGGAGCGCGTCGGCGTGGTGGCGCGGAGGGTGGGCACCAATGGTGCTCGTCTAACGCTCGTGCATGCGACGCGCAGCGGGCAGGGCATGGCTGGGCGGGTGGGATGCGAGCCCATGCAGGCATGCAGGGCAGGGCAGGGCGATGCAGGCCTGGCGCAGGTGCCTGGCGGGCCAGCGTGCGGGTGGCGCTCACTAGTAGTCTGCTTGGGTTGTGAGGTCCAGGCCGCAGCCGATGATGTGGCACACCAGCGGCAGCTCGCGCTTTAGGTCCTTGTTCCTCACCACATCCGGCAGCACCGGCAGGTCCCCAGGCCCCGCCTGCGCGGCTGCAGCTGCAGGGCGGGGGCGCCAGAGCAGCGGGGACAGCGTGGGGCTCAGGGGGAGGGCGGCAGCCAGCCAGGCATGCAAGCGCGCCAAGCGGACTGCTCCAATGCGCATCCGGTAGAAAGCGGAGCATGCTTCAGGCAGCGAGGCAGATACACCGACAGCAATGAGCCGCTGCATGCATGCCTCAAGCACCCCTGCATGCACGTGCAGCAGCTCCCTGCGAGGGCGCGCGTGCCCAGGCGCCTCAGCGGGCACACACGCAGGCCCGCCAGCCTCACCTTCGGGCATGCCCGACAGCATGGCCGCCACTTCCGCCTCCAGTCCCGTGCTGAGCCGCACCTCCAGCTCCCCATAGGTCTGCTCCTGCTGCTGGGACCCTCCCTGTGCTGCCTGCACCTCCTCCCCTGTATCCATGGGCTCTGGGCCGCCGCTGCTGGTGTCGGGCGCGGCTGGGCTGCCCGATGCGGTGCCAGGGTCAGAGGCACCGCCGGGCGAGGCGTCTGGCTGCAGCCCCGGCGCTGCACCGCCTGGCATCTGCGCCGGCGGCGTGGCTGCCCGCAGGGGAGAGGCGGGCGCAGGCGGCGCGCCCTGTGGCGCGGGCACCGGGGCGGCAACAAGTGGCTGCGCGCCCGCCACCTCCCTGCCCGCCTCAGCTGCGCCGCTGGGGGCCGGCCCCCGCTGCTCCTCTGCCACCATCGCCTCCTGAGCACGCTGGTGCTGGCCCTCGTCAGCGGAGCCTTCCACGCCGGGCATCGTCCACGCCCTTATGTGTACGGCGCTGGGGGCTACCGCCCAGCCCAGGCCTTCCCAACTGCTGCCCGGGCAGGCACTCCTTGGCTTTTTAACGCAGGCGCCTGCTCGGCATACGTATTTTCTCAGGAGGCTTGTTCACCGGGGCGAGCTGGTGGCAAAGCTGCCAGCGGCCTTTTGGCTAGCCTGCGCAGCTACCGTTTCCCTTGTGCAACTTGAAGTTAGTAGACATTACGCCCGCCGTGACACAGAAGCCTAAGTACCCATGCAAAGTACAACACGTTTGCGGGCCTGCTGAGCACTTTGCAGGAGTGTTATAGGTGTAAATGAACCAGTGGAAACGCATGGGCCCCAAACCCAGGCTCCCGCATATTTGTGCTACGGCAGCCGTAGAGCTCTACGACCGGCCCCGGTGCGCCTCCTTCCCCATATGGATGCATCCACAGATCCACGAGTCGCAAGGAAACCCGACTTGCTGCCTGCTTCTCCAGCAGCTCCTTGGTGGCACCGGCCACCCACCGGGGGCGGCATCGCCAGAGCAGCGCCCACCCCTCCACTTTCTGTCGCTGACGACGCTGCAGCAGCCACCGCTGGTTACAACGACACCCACCCACCCAACGGGGGGGCGGTGCTGCGGCAGCAGCGGCACTCTGCATTGCGATGATGGTGGTGGGAGGAGCGGGGGGCCCCCGCAGCAAGCATCTCTGCAACAAGCTCGGCATAAGCACCCGGCCGCATTTTGCTCTTTCACTTTCCATGGTGGCGGCCAGTGCGCCCAGCCGGCGTCACAAATCCTGCGCGATCGGCCCTCCACGCTGCCGCCCCTTCACGCCGCCGCAGCCGCAGCCGCCGACGACGATGCGCAGCCGTGGCCGCAGCCCCCGTCCGGGGGCCGCGGCCGCCGCCGCCGCCGCCGTCGCCTCGGCTGGCCGGGCGGGCATGGCTAGGCGCCGTGGCGGGGCGCTCAGAGGGCGCGGCCCACCTGCCACACGCGGATCAGGCCGTCGGTGTAGCCTGCAGGGTGCGGCAGGCAGGGCAGGGCACATGTGTGTGTGCGGGGCACATGCGAGCATCTCCTTCACTCCACGGGAGCTCAGCAACACGCAGGCCCAGGCTCCGCAGCAGGCCTTGCGCTGGGCCGCGCCAGGGCGCACACAAGTGCCAGGTGCACACTTCAACAGGTGCCAGAGCAGCTCCACGCGCGCCCGAATGCCCCGCCAGGCTGGCGCACGCACCGGAGTAGAGGGTGGAGCCGTCGGCGCTCCAGGCCAGGCACACGCAGTAGGGCACCTGCGCCTTCTTGCTGCGCTCGGGCAGCTCGGGGCGCAGCTCGTCCACCAGGCTCTTGCTCCTGCGCGGGGGAGGAGACCACGGGAGGCGGGGGTGAGCTGGCCATGGCACGTTCCGCTGCCCCTCCCACACACGACACGCACGAGCATGCGCACACGCGCGCATGCGGCAGCTGCGGCTCGCCCACGCACCACACCAAACGCGCACACACATAGAAAAAGGGCAGCCCCACACACAAGCACACATACACAGCGCGGCCCCCCACACCCCCGCAGCCCCGCTCACTCCAGGTCCCAGATCTTGATGGAGCCCTGGGTGGCGGCGCAGAGCCAGTAGCGGTTGGGGGAGAAGCAGAGGGAGTGGATGATGTCGGTGGCGTCCAGGCTGTACAGCCGCTTGCCCTCAGAGAGGTCCCACAGCATGGCCACGCCGTCCTTGCCGCCCGACGCGCACAGCGAGCCGTCGGGAGACACGGTGACGGTGTTGACGTAGCCCTGGTGGCCCACCAGGTTGTTGCGCAGCTTGCAGTTGGTCAGGTTCCACACCTGTGTGCGTGGGGGGGTGTGGGGGGGAGGGGGGCAGCAGGGAGGCGGGCACAGAGGTGAAGCGAGGGGATCGGCAGCGCTGGCAAAGGGGGAGCACAAGACTCCAACGATGATCAGCGCATCGACACGGTTATGTGCCACGGCTTCAGAAACACATTAGGATCATCATGATCACGATCCATCAACTCAAACGGCCAGGCAGGCGGGCAGAGGCGGTGCTCCCACCTTGACGGCCTTGTCCCAGCCCGCCGACACGATGATGGGGTTCTGGGTGACGGGGGAGAAGCGCACGCAGGACACCCACTCGGTGTGGCCGTCGGGCTCGCCGATCGTGTACTTGCACTCGCCCAGCGTGTTCCACAGCTTGATGGTCTTGTCGCGAGAGCCAGACACAATCTGCGGGTGGGGGCCAGGGGAAAGAGGGGTTGACGGCGAGGGTGCAGTGTGGGTAAGATGGCGGGTGGCGGGAGGGCGGGGATAGCGCTGGTGTGGGGTGCTCGAAGACAGGGGCAGTGGAGCGCATGCGCTGCTGCCGGCCCAGCTCCGATGCATGCTTGCCAGCCCCGCTGCCGGGCGCATCCTGCGCGCTGCTGAGGCGCTACTCGGCAGGCAGGGCGGGGCGCCAGCGGGGCCGCCAGCCAGGGCTGCCGCCGCCTGCCCTGCCCACCTGGCGGTTGTCGGCGGAGAAGGCGACCGACAGCACGTCCTTGGTGTGGCCCAGGAAGCGGCGGGTGGTGGCGCCCGTGTTGATGTCCCACAGGCGCAGGGTGCCGTCCCAGGAGCCGGTCAGGCAGAACTGGCCGTCAGAGGAGATCACGACGTCCTGCGGCGGGACGGGGAGGGGCAGGGCAGCAGGGAGGCCAAGGAGACGGGTGGTGAGGGAGGGGAGAAGAGGGCCTGCCATGCCGCGCGTCTGTTGCGGCAGCTGCGCACGGGCTGGCATCCGCCAGCCCCGCAGCCGTTGCTGACGCCTTCCGCGCCCCATGCCATCCCTTGAGCTGCTAAGCAAGTCTGTACAAAACAAGCCGGCAGCCGCCGCTGCGCCGCACCTGCACATAGTGGCTGTGGCCGCGCAGGGCGCGCTTGGGGTAGCCCAGGCTGCCGTCCTCGGCGTTGCCCAGCTGCCAGACCAGCACGGTCTTGTCCCTGCGAGGGCAGGAAGAGGTGAGGCAGCAGGTCGGAGCAGGGCGGGGGGCTGCCCAGCGGCGACGGCCATCCAGCGGCATCCCCGGCTTCGCGGCTCGCATTGGCCATGGCTGGGCGCGCTGAGCGGCTTCCGAGGCACGGCACGGCAGCCAGGCTCACCGAGAGCTGGACAGCAGGGTCTCGCTGGTGGGGTCCAGGGGGGCCGCGATGGCGGTGACCTGCGCGCAGGGAGCGTGTCATGGCGATGCACTGCCGCTGCAGGCCGGCCACAACGCCTGCCCTGCCCCCCGGAGGCCTTGGCATGCAAGAGCTGCCGGTCCCGTCAAGCAGCTGCAAGCCCGCCAGCGCCGTCCTGCTGCCTGTCCTCACCCAGCCCCGGTGGCCTGCAGGCAGCAGGGGCACAGGCAGAGCGCAGAGGGTGAATTGCAGGCAGGCTCAGGCGGCATTGGGCCCCCGAACGCCACTGGGCGCAACGAGCGACTTTAGCAGCATCCACAGAGCTGACAGCAATCGCTGGGCAGGCTGGGCACGCCGGAGGCCCATCGTGGGCATGCCCGCGCCATCAGGACAGCTTACCGGTCAGCTCGCCGCGCAGAGTCAGCGTCTCGGCCATCCTGATTGATTAGTGAAAGAGGCCGAGTCAGGCCGGAGCGCCGCCTTCATCCACTGCCGCCGCCTGCTGCGCTGAGCCGCTGGCGCCATCACATGCGGGGTAGCCGCCTTTGATCCTCCCCTCTGGCCAAGGCTTTGCTGCTTCCTGCCTTGCGGCTACTTGCCTGCAAGTCTAGTGGCAGTGTGGCTTGGGCACCTCTGCTAACCTTGGACACCCTTGGACTGCCTCACACCACGACTTCCTCGCAGGGGCCCGGTTCAGGCAATGGCTGCCGCCGCAGGCTTCATGCCGCTGGCGCCCGGGCCAGAGGCCGCGCCGGGCACCGCCACCCAGCCGGCGGGGATCCTGAGCGGGCGGCCCCGCCCGCCGCACACCGCGCTGCTCATCCCGTCTGAACACGAGCATGCCGTGACGCAGCGGCTGCTGGGCGCAGCCCAGAGCGAGGGCTGGCAGGTGCTGGAGGCGCTACAGGCCAGCGCGGAGGGGCTGCCTGCCGGCGAGGCGTGCCGCAGGCTGCAGCAGCACGGCCACAACATCATCTCTTCCACCCGAGCAGCGCCCTGGTACAGGTGTGGTGGTGCGGTGGCGCGTGGCGTGTGGTGCCTGCCCGCCTGCTGCTTTGGTGGTTCAGCAACGTGTGTGTACCACGCTGCTGTGGTCACAGCGGGGCTGGCACGCCTCTCCACCTCAGATCCTGCTGCCCTGCCGCGCATGTTCATCCCTGCCCCCGAGCAGCGTGCTGTGGTCCTCCTTCTGGCACCCCTTCAACGCCATCCTGCTGGCCCTGGCCGCCACCTCCACGCTCACCGGCGACGCCGCCACCGCCGCCATCATGCTCGCCATGGTGGCCTGCTCCACGGGGCTGCACTTCTGGCAGGCGAGTAGCGGCAGCTGGCTTCACAGCATGGCGGGCTGCGGGTGAGTCGAGCAGCGCTGCCGCGCTCTCCCCCCGCGCGCATGACAACAGAAAGTTGTGATACCTGAAAACTTGAGCATGGGGCGGCCGCTCTATCAGACCCCAAGCATGGTGTGGCCCAACTGCTCATCTGACTAGGCTTTCAGGCCTCCTGCTATAGCTAATGCCGCTGACTCTTTCTTGTGCCACATTCCGAGCAGGAGATGAAGTCCACGGTGGCGGCCGCCCGCCTGAGTGAGCTGGTACACACCCACGCCACCCTCATCCGGCAGGACGACGACACCGGCCTGCCAGGTGTGTTGGTCGATGTGGGGGTGGGCAGACTCGATGCATGGCACCTGCTTCTGCTCAGGCAGGCGAGCAATGCGACTTCCATCATGTGAACTGCCAGCCGCCTGCGCTGCCTGCCGGCATCTGCTCCCGCTGCCTGCAGAGGAGGTGGTGGTCGACCAGCGGGAAGTGGTGCCGGGGGACTGCGTGCGGCTGTTCGCTGGCGAAATGCTGCCGGGGGATGTGCGGGTGCTGCGCGCCAAGGACCTCTTTGTGGGGTGAACTTGAAATGCGGCCAGCCTGGCGGGCGCCTGCTGGCGGGCGCCTGCCGGCCAGCTCATCTGTGTCCTGTGCTTGTGCGGCTGTCAGCGATCGGCCAAGCGGGTTCCCAGGATTGATGATTAAGCTGCTGCTGCTGCAATGTGCCTGTACACGTTTGAACTGTCGCCTCGCCACACGCCGCCTGGCCATGCTCGCGCTTCCCCATGCAGGGCAGCCGCCCTGACCGGCGAGTCGATGCCGGTGGAAAAGACGGGCCGGCGGGCGCACCCGCCGCTGCCGCCGCTGCTGGACTGCCCCAACCTCGCCTTCATGGGCACACACGTGGCATCCGGTGGGTGGCTGCCTGGCTCGATACTCCCAGGGGGGAGGCTCCTGGCTGGTTCCAGCTGAATGGTGGGATCTGCACCAGTCTTCTGGCATCCTGGATCTCAGTAAAGAGGTTGGGGTCTGCCTGGGAGGATTTTAAGCGTCCTGCCGCTGGGTATGACCCCTGTGCCATGTGCCGGCCTCCTCCAGGCACCGGCCTGGGGGTGGTGGTGGCCACAGGGCGCGGCACCTACATCAGCACCATGGCTGACACGCTGCACCACCAGGCAAGCTGCGGCAAAGCGCCTGCGTGATGCAGGGCTGCTCCCCACAGGCTGCCCTCTGAGCGGGCTGCCACTGGCAGGACAGCTAGCTGCATGGGTGCCGCTGATCACCCCGCCGCCGAGGCCGACTCAGCTAGGAGCTCCCCGGCTGGTGCGCTGCCGCAGAAGCCCGAGAATGCTTTCCAGCGCGGGGTGCAGCGCGTGTCATACCTGCTCATCGCCTTCATGGCGGCCATGGTGCCGTTGGTGGTGGCGCTCAGCGGCCTCATGACACACAGCTGGTCCCAGGCGGCGCTGTTTGGCATCTCTGTGGCGGTGGGGCTCACACCGGAGATGCTGCCCATGGGTGGGTGAGAGGCAGGAAACCGCGCCGCAACTTGGATTGCTCATGTGGATGCAGCGCAAAGTGTGGGTGAGGGTGGTGGTGTTTTGTGGGCCGGGGTGGGATGGCAGGACTGGCAGGCACAAAAGACGTGACGTTTGACGCCTTGACACGTGCTGCTGTGCCTTCTGCGTTGCAGTCGTGAACGCCAACCTGGCACGCGGAGCAGGTGAGCGCAGCTCCTTTGTAGTGGATGATGCAAGCAGGGCAACGCTGCGGCAGGTGCCAGGGCTGCTGGCTGGCGCCTGGCCCTCCGTAGGTGACCTGGCGGCATGCTTCAATCAACATGCAGTGGCGATGGCCCGGCAGCACACCATCGTGAAACGGCTGGATGCAGTTCAGAACCTGGGAGCCATGGACATTCTGTGCACCGACAAGACTGGGACGCTGACGTTGGATGAGGTGGGAGGATGAGCAGCAGCAGCAGCAGCAGGGCCATGGTCTGTTCAACATGACATGGCACGGCTTCATGGCAGCCCCAGGCTGGTGCTGCCACCCGCCACTGCGTGCCGCCCCACGCCAGGTGGTGCTGACGCGCTGGCTGGACTGTGACGGGCAGGAGAGCGTGGACGCGCTGCGCTTCGGCTTTCTTAATTCTTTCTTCCAGACCGGCGTGCGCAACCTGCTGGACGCCGCCATCCTGCAGTCAGGTGGGGCTGTGCCGGTCCAGCGTCGCCAGTCCAGGCAGGACGGGGCAGACGAGATCATGACAGCCTCACCTACCAGCAGAGCTCATGCCATGCCAAGCGCAGAGTGGCAACCAAGCTGCTGCACTGAGGGGGCCGTAAACTGGCCGGCGTGTGTGTGCACGTGTGTGCAGGGCGGGAGGAGGGGCTGGAGTGGGAGGCGCAGGCGTATGAGAAGGTCGACGAGCTGCCCTTCGACTTTGTGCGCCGCCGCCTGTCGGTCGTGCTGCAGGTGCTGGTCGGCTGTGGGGTGTGGGGGCAGGGCAGTGCCAGCGCTGGTGCGCTCGCGGACGGGGAGCCGTTGCGTGCCCGCACGCTGCGGGGCCCAGCCATCAGCGCTCGTGCCTGGCTGCCGGCCCTTGCTGCCTGTAAAAGGTAAAGGTAAAGGTGGGGAAGAGCCTCCACAAGCTTCACTTCCCGGTTTTAACGTCTAGCTTTAGACCATTATTTGATCTGCCCGACGCGCCAAGTGCAGTACCCCCCACTAGTAGTGAATGGGTCCCGGGGAGGCCTGTGCCGAAGCCTTGGCGATTCTATTAGGCGTTCCCGAAGGAATTGGCTTGGATTGGCGCTGAGCCGGTCAGCTATGCCGCGTTTGTCCTCACAAAGTTTCGACATGGGAGGAATCGAACCTGTGCCCTCTCGGAGGGTTTAGACACTAGCTCCAGCGCCTTCAAAGAAGGCCTTTCTTAGCCGCGGCTGCAGGAACCTGCGTGGCATGGTTGCGGCGCTGTGCAAGCAGGCGGCAGAGCAAACAGGCGCCACCTGGCGCGGCCTGCTGGTTGACCTGCGCAACCACGGCAAGTCCGCACAGCTGGCCAGCCTGCCGCCGCCCCACGACCTGCGGTAAGCAGGATAAGGTTCCGCCTCTACCACGTTCCTCTGCTTTTGTCGCACCGCCGGAGTTGGCCAACCGCCCGCCTTGTGCCCTCCCCCGCCGCAGCTGCGCAGCCCACGACGTGGTGAGGCTGGTGCAGCAGCAGCTGGGCGGCCGTGCGCCAGAGGCACTGATCGGTCACAGCATGGGCGGCAAGACGGCGCTGGAGGTGGTGCGCCAGCTGGCGCTGCCCGGGGCGCCGGTGGGGCAGCCCAAGCAGGTGGGTTTCATGCCTTTGCCGTGGTGTCTTCTTGCCGCAAGGAGCTTGATCCTGGGTGTTGGAAACTGAGCCAGCCTTTAGGGCAGAGTCGGGCTGTCAACCTCGGCTGCCACCCGCCACCTGTGCAGGGCGACGGCGCGCCGCTGCTGGTGTGCAAGGGAGCGCTGGAGGAAACGGTGTCACTGTGCTGCTCCGTGGAGCAGGGGCAGGCGCTAATACCGCTTGACGACAGGTCAGTACTGGGCACTGGTGGGCACCTGGGCACCTGGGCACACGTGGTCACCCGGGAAGGGGGAGGGGAGAGGTGGGTGGGGAGCCAGCTGGCTGGGAAGCCCAGAGGGCACCATGGCGACCTCTACGCCTCCACATCAGCATCATTCCTTGCCAGGCTGCTGGGACCCCGCCAGGCCATCTGGTGGCCGGCCTGCTGCCGCATGCTCCCCCTGCAGGCGCCGCAGCAAGCTCCTCGCTGTCGGCGAGCAGCTGAATGCGGAGGGTATGCGCGTGCTGGCGGTGGCGGTCCGCCAGCTGCCAACCGCGGCGGCGGCGCTGCAGGCGGCCACGGCGGCCGGCACTCAGGCGGCAGAGTGGGTCGAGGGGGCTGATGGCGTGCCGGCCCCCTCCACACCACACTCTTCTCCTCGCATCACTCAGCTGCAGCCGCAGGTAATTTCGGAGCGGGCTGGTGAGAAGAGCTACAGCGCCACCGGGCTGCCCAGCGGTCGCAGCAGCAGAGCTAGCCTGGCCAGCAGCGTGCAGCAGAGCTACTCAACAGACGATGAGGCGGGCATGACCTTTGTGGGCTTCCTGGCCTTCCTGGTGAGCACAGGGTGCAGCTCTGGCAGCCACACTGCCACCCGGCAGTTGCGTGGCCTGCTGACAGGTGACCCCCACCTCCCCAAGATCATCCTGTCCTTGGGTTTCATCCCTACATGCTGCCTGCTGCGCAGGACCCTCCCAAAGAGACGGCCCGCCAGGCGGTGCAGCAGCTGCAGGACAAAGCGGTACAGCTCAAGGTGCTGACGGGCGACAGCCTGGCGGTGGCGTGCTCGGTGTGCTCGGATGTCGGCATCCCCACCATCCACACCATCACTGGTGAGCCTCCCGTTGCAAGCCAGAGCTCAGGGCCAGTCAAGTCGGCCTGCTCGCTGGCTATCATTAATGCAAGCGGTGGCTGCAGGCCCAGAGCTGGCGCAGCTGGGGGCTGGCGAGTTTTGTGTAGCGGTGCAGCGGGCCAGCGTGATGGGCAAGCTAACCCCGGGGCAGAAGGCGCGGGTGGTGGCGGCGCTCAAGGGCGGGGGCCACACAGGTGGGTCAAGCGGCAGCCAAGCTGGGTGTGTGCATCCATCCATGGGCACAGGTACAGAACCCACGCAGCGGACTCTTTCACTTCCTGTACTGTGCTTGCGCAGTGGGCTTCCTCGGGGACGGAGTGAACGATGCGCTGGCGCTGCGCGCGGCAGATGTGGGTGAGCCAGCCCCAGCAAGGGCCTGGCCCGCCACCTGCGGCGAGCCCCGCCAAGCCACATGAAGCCCGCTGCTGGCAGCTGTCGCGGAAAAGCCTGCACTGACATGCCGCACCCGCTCCCTATTGATGTTGCTGTCTTCTTACTTGTTTCCTTGTTTTTCTCCAGGCGTCAGCGTGGACACTGGCAGCGACATCGCCAAGGAGGCTGCTGACGTCATCTTGCTGGAGAAGAGCCTGCTGGTGCTGGAGCATGGCGTCTCACAGGGGCGGGAGACTCACGGCGAGTGCTGCTGTCAGCGCAAACCTGCACCTGCAGCAGCTGTGCAACACCGCCTTGCAGCTTGCGTGTGTGCCTGAAGCACGCCAAACGCCGGCTGCTATCGCCTGGTGCTGCCTGCAGGCAACACATCCAAGTACATCAAGCTGGCCGCCAGTTCCAACTTTGGCAATGTGCGTGCCGTGGCTGGCCACCTGCTGGTGCCACGCGCCTGAGGCCAAGGCTAGGCGTTGTTGAATCCAATTCATGTCCCAGGAGCACCCTGCCTCGCCTGCTGTGCACGCTGTGTCGCAGGTGTTCTCCATCCTCGTGGCCTCCGCGTGGCTCCCCTTCCAGCCCATGCACCCCATCCAGCTGCTCACCCAGAACCTGTTGTACGACCTGTCCCAGACGGCAGTCCCGTTTGACAGGGTGGATGCCAGTAAGAGAGCGCGCCAAGAAAGCTGGCGGGCTGGCCACCTGCCGCCAACAACTTGTCGACGTCAGCTGATGCAGGCTGCCGCCGCTGCACTGGGCTACTCAAGCGTGTTGCCTACCGCTGGCTGCAGGCTACCTGGCGGTGCCGCGCACCTGGTCTGCCGCCGGGCTGGGCATTTTCATGCTGGCCATCGGGCCTGTGTCTTCCATCTTCGACATAACCACCTTCTGCCTGCTCTGGTGCGCGGCCAGCCCGGGTGCAGGGGACTGTGTTGATCAGCCGGGAAGGGGCCATTGGCCGCCCGCAGCAGTGTAGGTATTGAAGCACTGGACTGCTCTGAATTGGCTGGCAGGCCTTCGCCCCTCCCTCCCGTCCGCAGGTTTGTGTACGGCGCCAACAGCCCCGAGCGCCAGGCGCTCTTCCAGACTGGCTGGTTCACCGTGGGGCTCCTGACGCAGACGCTGATTGTCCACATGATTCGTACAGAACGCATACCATTTGTGCAGGAGGTGGGTAACCATGCTGGGAGGCTGCTGAAGGGGGGGGGAGGGGCACAAGACAGGCTGGAAGGGCTGCTGGGCCAGTCCGCGCTAAGCACAGGTGGTCAGGGCTATGACTTGGGCTCGGTAAAATGGGAGGCAGCTGCGCACTGACTCAGCTCCTTCGAAAGGCGCCATCGACATCAATTGAATGTTCGTCCCTGCTTGGGTTGGGTCCCCCATTGAGCGCTACCGCAGGTCGCAGCCTGGCCGGTTGTGCTGATGACGGCAGTCATTTCAGGCATTGGCTTGGTGCTCCCGTACACTCCTGTGGGCGCCGCTGAGGGCATGGTGGCCCTGCCGCTCAGCTTCTATGGCTGGGTCGCTGCAACCATCGCTGGTGAGGGGCCTGCTGGTTGTGGGTATGTCGCCAGCCAACAGCAAACCGCAGCGAAGTTCATTACATGCCATGTGTGCCGCAGGATACATGCTGACTGTGCAGCTGGCAAAATGGATCTACATCAGAACCTTCTGCAGCTGGCTTTGAGGCACCTCGACCACGGCAGCCAGCAGCGTCCGACTGCCGGGGTGAATACATGCAGCGCGCGGTTTATTGCTGAATGTGAAGAAATGGAGCGAAACAATATCAGTTGAGGTGGCAGGATCCAACCGTTCGTTGGTTAAGGACAACGAGGCGGAACCTGAAGAATGAAAAAGCACAAACAACGACTCATGCTGGGAGTGGCGGAAGAAGGCGTGCAGCCACAACAGCACCACAGCTGGGCGCTGAACAATTGTTGGATGCACTGCTGCGGGTTGTCATCTTAGAACCCAGGCCAACGCGTGGGGCTGCCTATGCAGGTCTGTCCTGCAGCACCGCCACCACATGCTTTGCGCCGGGCCGTGCAGTGGGATCCCGGTCCAGGCAGGCGTATGCCAGCTCAGCCACAGCCAGGGGGCAGTGCTCGGGAACCCTGCACATACAGATGTGGTGCAGGAACTGATGGCAGTGAGACACAGCAAACACCTCTTGCATGCCGCGCCAAGGCAGATCGGGCAGACCGCCAGCCCAGCGCACAGCACGGCACACCTGAGCTGCAGCTCGGCCCGCGCATCTCTGCCGCGCGCCGCATGGCCCGTCAGCACCTCCAGCATCACGATTCCCAGGCTGTAAATGTCGGACGCTGGGCCGCACCAGTCCCCGGCCAGCTGCTCAGGGGAGGAGTAGCGGTTGGGGGTGCCTTGAGCTGTCACGATGCTGGCCTGCAGGATGCCTGACTTCCCGAGATCGCAGATTTTGGCAGTGCCCAGTGATCCATCCAGCAGCACATTGCTGCAGACCAATGGGAGATAGGGAGGCACAGCAAGCAAGCGACAATTGCAGCGAGCACACATGTGGATTGGCAAACAGCAGGGATGGTCAACCACGCAGCCAGAGGCTTAACCCACCTCGCTTTCAGGTCAAGGTGCACGATCTTGCGGCCATGTAGGTGGTGCAACGTGCTGGCAACTTGGAGCAGCAGCTCCCGGCCCCTGCAGGTGCAGGGCAGCGAGTGTAAGCAATGTCAGCTCACAACAGACAGCCGACAGGCAGCTGTGCAAGCAATGACGCAGTCGACGATAGACAGACACAATGCCAGCACACCTGGCATGGTAGCGCAGCGCCGGGTTTGGCAGCTGGCTGAGCAGCGAACCACCGGACATGAGCTCTGTCACCACAAACACCAGGCCATGCGCCCAGCACACGCCAACCAGCTGCAGGCAGGCGCCGAGCCAAAACACATGTCATGGCTGGGAACGCATGTCATGGCTGTGGGAACTGTGACAGAGCAGCAAAATCCCAAATGAATTATACAACACACTGCAATATGCAAAGAGCTGCACCACCCGCCCCCTACCTGCAGGATGCCAGGGTGGTGGCAGCGGTGCACCAACGACACCTCCTGCTGCAGCTGCTCGTTCAGCATGGGACCTTCAGGCAGCAGCATGACCTTCACCGCCACCGCCAGCTCATCGTGCAGGCGAGCCAGATACACCTGCAATGGTACAGCAGGCAAGGGCAGTACGATTTGCGGTACATTCATCCACGACAGTGCAGCAAGCAAGTGCGGCAGTGACTCTGTCTCTCACCTTGGATGAGGTGCCAGCCCCAATCTCAACCAGCCCTGCGCAGCTGCTGCTGCCGCTGGTGGGTAGTCGCTGGCTGAAGGTAAGATCAGAAAGCCGCAAGGAGAGGGGCCCGCAGGCAGTGGCGGCACGCAGCGGCTCGGAAGCGCGGCCAGACGTGCTGGGACCGTCCCCAGCAGTAGCCTCTTGCTGCCAGCTGGCTGTTCCAGGCAGCTGCTGCGTCAGAGCACTTAACGCAGGAGGCCGATGGGCTCCAATCACCAAGCCCTGGTTATCAGCTGACGCGCCAAGCATGTGCTGGCTCAAGTCAAGCAGCTGCCGCTCAATCTCTGCATGCTCCCTGCGTTTTGGTGGCCGGCTAGTGCCGCCGCTGCCTGTGCTGTGCTGCAGCAGTAGCTGCAGTCCTTCCTCGTCCGCTGACGCTGCTGCCGCCCCCTGCGCATGCTTTCTGCGAACTGCAGGCAGCAACGCAACAGCTGCCATCACCAGCACTGCTGCGCCCCCCACTGCTGCTGCCAGCACGCCGCGACTACTGCTGCTGCTGCGCACCACGGAAGGACTGCAGGCAGGCAGGTGCACGCTGGTGGTGGCATTGTAGCAGACAGTCCAACCCTCATCCGGATGGTTGATTGGAATATCCTGATACCCGCCCGGCTGCACGACAATCGCCTCGCCGCTGCCTATATCTGTCCAGCCGCCCACAATGCCACTAGTGTTCAGGCAAGCAGTAGGTCTCTTAGTGGTCATTGTACCCAAGCATAGGCCGTTGTTGCCTGGCCAGACAAGCCTGCACCACAGCAATGTCGGCAGCTGGTCTGCAACCTTGGTTTAACGCAGCGCACTATAAACCAGCATGGCACAACATGCACAGCAGGCCTCACAGCGAGAACTGACGCTTCGTGTCCTTTGCAGGAATATGGACAGGGCCCTTGAGCTGATTCCTGGCAACATCCCTGCAATGTCACAAATATGCCAATCGGCCATGCACATACGCTTCTCAGCTCATCTTTTGGGCCGGGCAGCTCCCTAGGTTGTAGCAGCAACGGTGGGGGTCGCAGGCTCCCACAACTTACATGTAGTGAATTCCAGTCCAAACATTGGTAACTAGCCAGGTGGATGGGAGCGCCCCTGTGAATGCATTCCCCGATAGGTTCCTGAAAACAAAAATGGGCACGGGCAGACTTGGCACATCTGTCAGAACTGGGTAAAGCTTGAAATGATCAGGGTGTGGCAGCAGTGGCAGGAATGGTAACAGCGCCACCGCAGCAGCAGCTGCAGCAGCAGCAAAGCTGCAGCAGAAAGCTCACAAAGCACGTAACATAGTGAGCAAACCGCTAGTGGGCCATCTGGCTGGCAACGACCCGCTGAGCTTATTGTCAGCAAGGTTCCTGCGCAGACACAAAAAGGGCAATGGCTTTACCCCGGTTGTGGTTGATGTTGGAATGGCAGGCTGCCTGCCTGCATGCTCACAACGAATGCAGGTGGAGGATACCGAAACCGTCCTGCGAGCCTCCCTCAGGGCTGCTCAAGGTGCGAGTGAGCTGATTGCTGGAAAGGTCAACCACTCGCAGGTACCGCAGCCTGGTTGGGAGAGCAGCTGGGATTGCAGAAGGCACAGGACCAGTCAGGCGGTTATGATGGAGAATCCTGCACAACGGGGTAAGAGACCGTTTACTACAACGCAGACTAAACTGTCCTGTCTCAAACATAATGCAGTCACCACGCATCACTGCTGCACCCCCCCCCCCCCCCCA